AAAAAAAAAAAACACCCCCCCCCCCAAAAAAAAGAAAGCAGGCTGTTGGGAGGCAGAGCCAGGTGGATCTCTGTGAGTTCGAGGCCAGCCTGGTCTACCGAGTGAGTTCCAGGACAGGCACCAAAACTACACAGAGAAACCAAAAAACAAAACAAAACAAAACAAAAACACCAAACAAACAAAAAGAAAGCAGGCTGAGCAAGCCATGGTGAGCAAGCAGCACTCTGCATCAGCTCCTGCCTCCAGGTTCCTGCCCTGTCTGAGTTCCTGTCCTGACTTCCTTCAGTGATGGACTATAATGTGGAAGTGTAAGCCAAATCGGTTTCTTTCCCAACTTGATTTTTGGTCATGGTGTTTCATAGCAGAAATAAAAGCCCTAACTCAGACAGGTATTTACTATATTTTTACAAAATTAAGAAACTAGTAAGTACTGTGGAATATATAGTTTTATGAAGCAAAGATGCATTTACCTGTGTAGCAATTCACAACCAACAACTGAGAAGTTATTTATCAGATATGAGAAAAATAAAATCCTTTTACTAAAGTTACAGTTTAGTAAATTTGACATTGCTAGGAAAGATGCAAAGAAGAATGATACAAGGTTCTTAGAGTGTTGTTAAACATAAGCCTGCAATTAACAAGTCTAACATTCAAAAGAACAATAAAGCTATTTTCATTGTAATGACTGCATAATAGGAAATTAGAAAGTGATTTAAAAAAAAAAAAGCTATGCTATGTGCCGTGGCACATGACTAATCCCAGTACTTGGGAGGTGTAGAAAAGATCAGCAGTTCAAGGTCATCTTCAGCTACAGCTTAAGGCCAGCCTGGACTACATGAGATATTGTCTCCAAAAAACAAACAAAAAAGATGAGCATGATTTCAGAAAATAATGCCACAAGCCCAGCAGAAAAATTGAACAGCCACATTTTTGCATGCAAAATTTTTTTGTTCTTCCTAATCTTTGGTGACTTTGAAATTATACCAGAGGCTTCTATGCAAGGGAATTTTTACTGTACAAACTATGACTACAGTGATTTTTTTTTTTTTTTGGTCAATTTGACACAAGCTAAAGTCCTCTGGGAAGAGGAAACCCCCAAGGAATTGCCTTTATCAGACTGTCCTGTAGACCAGTCTGTGCAACATTTTCTTGATTCATGGTTGATGTGGAAAGGCCTAGCTTACTGTGGGCATGCCACTTAGGCAGGTGGTCCTGAGTTATATAAGAAAGCAGGCTGAGCTAGGCAGGGGTGGCACATACCTTTAGTCCCAGCACTCAGGAGACAGAGGCAGGCAGTTTTTTCTGAGTTCAAGGCCAGCCTGGTCTACAGAGTGAGTTCCAGGACAGCCAGGGCTACACAGAGAAACCCTGTCTTGGAAAAGAACCAAAGCAGACTGAGGAAGCCATGGAGAACAAACAAGGCAGTAAGCAGCATTCTTCTGCAGCCTGTTCCAGATCCTGCCCCAGGCTCCTGCCTTGAGTTCCTCCTCTGGTTTCCCTCAGTGATGGACTGTGACTGGGGTGTGTAAACTCACCAAGTTGCTTTTGGTTTTATCACAATAGAAAGCAAATTAGAAGGAAAAGTGCTTCTTAAATAATATTTCTTATTTTTCCAGAATTGATTATTTTTCTGCTGCTTCCCTCTCAACATGAAAGAGGATCAAGTTGTGCAGGAAGAATTGGGATTCCAAGATGAAGAGGTATTGTTAGAATGTTGAAAGTTATGTTGATGTTCAGTCTTTCCACAAAAATCAGATTTCTTTGCTTTTAGCTACTGATTTTAGGAACTAAAAGTAGAAATAAGATATACACATAAATGTGTAACAATTTCTTTGGCAAAGTGTGCTAAGTTTAGCTACTTAGCAACTGGTATGAAAGTTTTTGTTTAGTTTTCAATAGAAGAGATCCAACTCAGTACTTCTTTCTGATAGGCAAATGCTCTTCCACTAGTCACATCTCCAGCCTCAAATGAAAGTAGCTTAATATCAGCTTCCTGCTACCTATGCACACTGGTCCTGAAAAAGGATATCAAGATTTGTAGTAAATAAAATAGGTCAGGTGGGAGCTGGAGAGATGGTTCAGTAGTCCTTTGCTTTTCCAAAGGACCAGGGTTTGATTCTCAGCACCCATGTTGGTTTGTTTTCTAAATATGTAACATGCTTGAAAAAGTGATTGATTCTACTTCTGTGTTTAGAAAAGTGGAACTGAAGTATTATGGAATGACTGTGAATCAGCATTAGTCACTACCAAAAATGTGAAACATTTATTTAGATATGAAGGTTAAAATCCATTCTTTCTGTTTCATTTCATTTAGGAATCTTTGTTTCAAGACATTGACTTGTTACAAAAGCATGGAATTGTGAGTAACTTTTCAGTACTGTATTAAATGGTCTGTTCCATTTTCTCAGCCTTGTCCTTTTTGTTTGTTTGGTTTTTTTTGGGGTTTTCTTTTGTTTTGTTTTCGAGACAGAGTTTCTCTGTAGTTTTGGAGCCTGACCTGGATCTAGATCTGTAGACCAGGCTGGCCTCGAATTCACAGACATCCGCCTGGCTCTGCCTCTCGAGTTCTGGGATTAAAAGCGTGCGCTACCCCCTGGATAATTCTTTATTGTGTAGAGAAGGGGAGCCCTCTGTCTTAAGTTGTTTAGCAACATGCTTGCTGTTCCAGAACAATGTAATCCCAGTATATGAGAACTGAACCCCAGGAGCCAGGAGATTGAAGCAAAGAAGCAGTCAAATCCAGAGTCGTACAGAATATAAACAAGGGGAACTCACTAACAGAAGTGTGGCCCTGGATGGCAGCAAGCCCAAGCAGAGCCCCACAAGTTGAATTAGAAGGATATATTGGTGCAGATAAAAGTGACTTCATCAAAGCAGGAATGAGTCTGGTTGATCTTAAGCTAATATCAAAGAGACACACTCCAGATCCGGGTAATAATAAAACTTCACATACCACTATGCTGGTTTGGTCTATTTATAGTATGCTTGGAAATTATACAGGAAAAAAACCCACAAAAACAACCAACTAGTATTACTCAGGGCAATCATGGAATTACAACTCACAGATATCTGTAGTCATATCCAACTTAATTCACACACCTGGCCTCTACTCATGCATCTAATGCCTGTAGTACTCTTCTACCTGTGACAACCAAAAATGTCTCTGGACACTGTTGAGAATTTCCAGTGATTAAAAACCACTGGAGTCGGGTGGTTGTGGCGCACGCCTTTAATCCCAGCACTTGGGGGGCAGAGGCAGGTGGATCTTTGTGAGTTCGAGGCTAGCCTGGTCTACAGAACGCGATCCAGGAAAGGCACAAAGCTGCACAGAGAAACCCTGTCTCAAAAAACCAAAAAAAACAAAAACAAAAACAAAAACAAAAAACCACTGGTTCAGCTGGAGGTGTTTTGAAGCATCTCTAAATAACCAGCACCATCTCTTGTCTCTCTAGATTTAACATTAGATAGATAATGCTTTATTTACAGAAAATTCTATTTGTCCAATGACCTGGGTAAATCATGGTGGCAGAAATGTAGATTATCAAAATATGTGAATGTCAAGAGCAATCATTGGTGTTAAAAGTTTGCTGAGGTTGTCTTTTGAAGTCTTCATATTAATCTCTTTCCATTGATTTCAGAAATAGAAGCAGGGGAAAATCCCAGTCTTTAGGTGATGTAGTTATTTGTGTTCTTCAGGAGCAGAAGGGAAAAAAAACAACTTTGAAAACTGTAGAGAACATATTGGTTATGAAGTTCTGTAGAAGGAAGGAGCTGAACTGAGGGGGTGAATGTGTGATAAATTTGTTAGCTTTTCCACCAACAGACTTTTCTTTTTAATTTCTTGCTACATTGCCATGGTCTCACTAACATTCTTGGGAAAATCAGGGCACAGCCAGAACATTTGGCAACCTACTGGGTATGTTCTACTCTGGTATTTCCAGAACATTTGGCTAGGTGGTGGGTGGGTTCCACCTGGTTGCTTGTATAAAATTAGCATCCTGATGGAAGGAGATGGACACGAAGCTCATGACATAGTAGAGGAGCCTTTCAGGCTGGCATTTTATCAATCTGCTACTCCCATTCTTTTATTTCAGAATATGGCCGATATTAAGAAACTGAAGTCTGTAGGAATCTGTACCGTCAAAGGGATACAAATGACGACCAGAAGAGCCCTCTGCAATGTCAAAGGGCTCTCAGAAGCCAAAGTGGACAAGATTAAAGAAGCAGCCAACAAACTTATTGTAAGCCAAGTTTATTCTTTGCTGTTTTAGTTTAGCAGAGTTGTCTTTGTAGCCTTTCTCATGAACATTAGAAACTACAGTAGGAACTTTAAGTTCCTGTAGATAGACCACAATATATTATACTCCTTATGTGACCTGCTTATTACTTCAATCCCAAAGCCACAGCAATTAGTTTCTGGAAGACTGAGGTAAGCATTAATATGCGTAGAATATAGTCTGGCCCTGAATTCCATTCTTTTTTTTTTTTTTTTTTTACATTTATTTTTATTTTATGTACGTTGGTGTTTTGCCTGCATGTATGTTTGTGTGAGGGTTTCGGGTCTCCTGGAACTGGAGTTACAGACACTTGTGAGCTGCCATATGGGTGCTGGGAATTGAACCTGGGTCCTTTGGAAGAGCAGTCAGTGCTCTTAACCTCTGAGCCATCTCTCCAGCCCTCTGAATTCCATTCTTAGAACCCACATGGTAGAAATAGACACCATGGCATGCACCCCTAACACATATACAGTTAAACATATATAGTTAAAGCAATTAAAATCTAAAAAGAAAGCCAGGTGATAGAGGTGCACGCCTTTAATCCCAGCACTCAGGAAGCAGAGGCAGGTGGATCTCTTTGAGTTTGAGGCCAGTCTGGTCTACAGAGCGAGCTCCAGGAAAGTTTCTCAAAAAACCAAAGGAAGGAAGGAAGAAAGAAAGGAAATAAATAAATCAATCTAAAAAGAAAACCTGGGGCTGGAGAGATGGCTCAGCCGTTAAAGGCTAGGCTCACAACCAAAAATATAAGAGTTCGGTTCCCAGCACCCACGGCTGTCTCTCCAGCCACAATAAAAAAAAAACAACAACAACAAAAAAAACCTGCATTTGTACTGAAACATACACATTTCTTTCTTTCTTTCTTTCTTTTTTTTTTTTTACAAATTTCTTTTGTAT